CATCCCTTGAGAACACAGGAGTTAAGACAGATGAATGTGAAGGGAAGCTGAAAGTGGTAATTCAGAGACAGAGAAAAAACCTGCTGGTGCAAACCAATGTTGATGTAGCTTTAAGTATTAAATTATACATTTTTAATGCAATTTTAAATTTGTATACTATATACATAATATATATATACACACATATATGACAATGGGATACTTTGTCTGTATCACCAATATGAGTTTGTGCATTTTGTAGAGGTTTGTTGATCTAACACATTAAGAAATCGAGATCTGAAAGGAGGAGGAATGTAGGGGAAGATATGAAAGCCTGGCATGGAAGTATATGTATATTTTCTGATACGTTCAGTAAGGAATTTCAAACTGTAGGTAGTTTTTAGTAACATACATGTGTTTTAAAAAAAAACGAACAAAAAAAAGCCTTTTACCATATGCAGTACTTATCTTCTATAGGGCAGCCAGTAACATATGCTTTAGAATTGTGATATTTATTGGCTTTGCACTTCTCATCTGTAGAGATGAGTCAGTGATGTATTTTTTTATTGGTAATATTTATATGTATTTTTGTGTGTTAGCCAGAGAATTGTAATCTCTCTGTTATTACTTTGTGGTTTGACAATAAACAAATGCAAAGCTCAGAGATTCATCTGGGTTTCCAAAATAGCCCTCTGAGATGCAAAAGCTTTTGCTTAGCCACCTAGGCAATACTCTTCCTCAGGCTTTTTTTCACACTTCTGCATGCCACCACCTCAGGGTTTGGCCTGTGGATGCTCCATTCCCATCAGTAAAAAAATATTTGGCAATATCCACATGGTACTAAGGATTTTCATACCCTTTTGAACCCTGTTTTTTTTCCTTCAGTGATGTCCTTCCTGACATCCCTGCAGTATCTATCTATACAAGAAAATCTGCATGACTTTTTGTTGCTGATAACCACCTGTATTTTGAAACAAAAAAAAAAGTTTTGATAAATTAAATGATGGGCATGAAGAGTATAAGAAGATCAAGATTTGGTAATATTAATTGAGCTAATGCATTGTTTTATAAAGTGTTCTCATGTGTTGGTATGTTAAATGTTACTGTGAGGTTCTTGGAAATAAACCCAATATGTATTTAGTTCCTTTTAAATGCCAGTGTTACATATGTTCAGTTGTAAAGGCTATTCACTTCAGTCTTGGAGTAAGAAATGCTTTGCTGTTTAATCCAAGAAATTGAGAAGAAATTCTTGCTTGTTGTATTAATCATCATCAAAATAAAACTCTAGTTGCACTGGCAGATGAAGAGCGCAATATTCCATTTAACTCAGTGTTTTGCCATTACAAAATTAACAATTTTGGAACAATCCTATAACCACAGTTCTCAACTTTGCTTCGTATTTCCCTCAACAAGTCATCTAGAAATAACAGATCAGTGAAAACTGACTAATTCAATTCAGACGTAATGTTTGAACCTTGTTCTGGTTTATCTTAGTGATTTTTATGTTACATAAAAATGTGAGGTGCTATTACAAGTCAAATCACAAGTCCATCTTATCTGTAATCTTCTCTTTGATTATAAACAGTTGTAGACTCCTAGGGAAGGATATAAACAAAAGGCTTACACAGAGTGATTTTGCTTTAGGGTAACTTACCCAGCATCCAGCAATCTGTTTTAGTTGAATTTGGTCCACAGTAGACCCTACCCTCTATAAATTTGTCTTAGTCCTAATTTGCTTGTACTTCTGTCCTCTAAAATGCCCCTGGACAGCGAGTTGCGGGGAGGGGAAGTCACTGTTTGTTTTAAACCTGCTTACCTGATAATTCCTTTTTGAACCTTTCATTTCTTTTATTGTCAGAAACAGTTGTTTGGTTTTTTTGTTCTTTGCTGCCTGTGCACTACTCATGGTTTTTCAGCTCCTGTATGTTTTTAGTTCCATGGTTACGTTCACCTTCCTTATGTTCACAATGTTCAATTGTCTGTCTTCTATTACAGCTGTTTGAGATGGCATAATCAAAATTGCAGAGTATTCAGAGTACGAGCATACTGTGGAGGCGTGTAAGTCCTAATTACAGCTTATATTTTGTTCCTCTGCTGTTTTCTCCCACATCATCATGGGCTAAATCCTGTTTTGAGTATCTCTAAGAGGATCATCACTTAGATTTGCAGTCTGTGCAGGCAGCTGATCTCATCCACTTCATCTTCACCTGCAGTAACTTGTCTTAGGCAACACTTTTTCCAAATCATGATGACAGTTATGCCAACCACTTCATGTTGAGGAAGTGGTACTGGGTAATTCCATCATCAACCTATGCAGTATGTAAAAAAGATAAATTACATCTTTGTCATATGGTGTGAAATCCTGGACTCCTATCCTACCACAAGTTCAGTAACATTGCATAAACATTTCTGTAATAATTCTCAACTAATATCAATTTTTAGACATAGGCAATCAAAAGAAAAAGACAACTCGTAATAGGGAAATGCATCACATCTTTGAGTGAGCTATCTGAATATGGCATGCAAACAATATAACATGGAAGTAATCCTTACTCATTAATGTTTTACCCCCATTTTCATACACCATTCTGTACTGACCGTTTTTTAAAAGTCATTAAATAATTAGTCTTTAGAAGAAGATAATTCATTGAAGAAAATTTCCCAGAAGATGCTCTCTGTATCTTCAGCCCAGCAAAATCACAGTTGGACAGAAACTTCCCATGGGCCAACAAACTCTGAACTGAATCAACATGATTAGGACAACAAATGCAAATGTTATAAATGCAGTTCTATAATCACTATAGTAAAAACGTCCCACCACAGAAATATCAAAACCCATGGTTCCTACATGCACATCCCAGCATGTACATCTGCCAGTGTGCCAAATACTTCCAAAGATACTGTATGTGTGGTGCCAAATATGCATTGCCCTGATAAGAGGTGAACCTTGATATTTTTAAAAGTTAAGAAAAGAAAAAAAAAAAGAGAAAAAGGAAAACAAGGAAATGGAAAAGGAAAAGAAAAAGAAAAAGACTGGATCCTTTTGTTTTCATGTGATGCTGTGATTCTTGGAATCAAAGCTATTCTTTGACATGTTATCTCTGCAAGCCAGTCCT